TATTGTAGTAATTATCTATTAAAGTGGTTGTAAACCTCACATGAAATCTGAACAAAGTACCCATTTCTATAGTGTTTGCCTCTCTCCAAAGTGCCAAGTGTCATTTCTCAACGCTGCTATTGTACACTGTAAATGCAGCTCCCCACCCCCTGCTTTGTGAGTCTGTGAAAAATCCTTTTCATTTCTGAGTTTTAGATGGATGTGCAGGACAAATGGTTGCATATAAAACAGGTATCAACTTATGTAGGATGATTTGTTCGTTTCATCTGTGTATCACCTGAGGCCAGTCACTTCACTGGGTAGGCAGGGGTTTACAACCACTTCATTCATAAACTATTTGAGTATATAAAAGTAAGCATTAGTCACCATCAAAACCTGCCAACACTGTCTAAGCAGCTTAAGGTCCATGAAAACAGGGAACATTTCAAATATACACAATAACTTTAGACTTTTTACATATTAGGCAAATCCTAATTTAAGCTAACATCTAAAATATATTTAAAAAACAGAGCCTAATGCTTTCAAACAGCATTTTCTCATATCAGAGTAATTTGAGTGTGGTTAACCTGTAAGAGGCATCACAGTCATTTCATATGAAAAATATTGAAAATGTCTACCTAATCAAAATGTAGCATGCAGGAGCTCAAAATTTAGAACTAAAGACAACTTTGTTTTTCATTTTAGATAGAGTAAGGGAGGGTTATAACCCCTGTCCCTTTTTTTCCATTTGTGTCCCAATGGGGAAATTTCCCTTCACTTCCTGTCCCATAGCCAAAACAGAAAAAGGAAATCCCTGCAAATTAAGGGAATCCCTTGGGGGCTCCCAGTCACCAGAACTAGTGTCCCCATTGAAAAATTTCCCCTCACCACGTTTTAAGGGATAACCAAAATTTGGGATTTTCTCTTACTTCCAATGATAAAGGTAAACATGACAAAATGAGGGTAAATCTCCCTCAAGGTCACGTACAGAAGGGGGAAAAAAAAAAAAAAAAAAAAAACCCACACTGGTTCTAATCCATCTCCACTATGTCCAAAGCTAAAAAGAAATACGTTTTGTCTTTAGTTATACTTTATAGGAGCTAAAAGCTGCCATGAAGTGAGCCCCTTTACATCAACTAAGCAACTACCTAGGGCCCATTCCCATCAGATCTGTTACATATTTTGCTGCGTTTTCCAGCAAAGTGCATTAATGTTAGTACACACATTTTCAATTGAATCTGTTCCCAACAACACTGCATACTGCAGTTTGGGTGTGTTGTCCAGGCCAGAAAAATATGGTCTTTCAAAAACATGCACTAGCTCATGTTCTGTTAAGAATGGGCCCATGTTTTGTGAAATTTGATCTGTGCAAGAAAAAAAAAAAAAAAAAAAAAAAAAAGAAGAAGTGCAACAAACCATGCATGAGGAAGAACCATTGCAAGGGTTGATCAACACAATACTCTGATGTCTGCAAGTGCTGACAAATAGGCCAACCATTCCCATAAACAAAGCAAGTTAATTCCTTTACATAGTTAATAGTGTATTAAGCATGTTGCCCAGGGAAAAGGCTGACAGACATGCCATGTTAATTATATAGCTATTAATGATTTACAAACTGCAATCAGAGGGTAATGTTGACAGAGCAGAGTGGACTGGCACACTGTATTTTAAAGGTAATGCTAATAAAATATTCTCTCAATATAGGAAATTGATTCATGTCTGAAAAAAATCTCCACTAAATATTAGTTGAATGAAATCTCCACTAAATATTAGCAGGAATGGAGGCAATTGTAATTATCACTGATGTTAGAGTCTCCATTCAACTATTCCTAGAGTCCCACAATAAGCATTTCTGCTGTCTCCACAAAGCAGATATCAGAAGCATTCCGACTACCAAAGCTAGCCATGTGGTACTGTACACGTTCACATTTACCCTCTGAGAGTCAGTAATCTTATATCATATGAATATATGAAGCTTTCCTCTTACATTTTACCCCTGTCCAGTACTGCATAGATCCAGGCTCCTTACAGCTCAACTGAGTGTTCAGTTTAAACTAAACACATTCCAAGGGCAATAAAAAAAAAAAAAAAAAAAAAGCACTTTTTTGTAGGTAAAAAAAAAAAAAAGTTTAAAATTTAGAGCCTGAAGAGCATTGCATCTGTGATCAGCAGATCGCTGGTGCAATGTCAGGCTCCTGCATACTCTCAGTATACCTGTACAGGCAGACCATTAATGAAATCCAGGAAGAATCCATGAAAAGTATGCCCACCAGCACCCTCACAGGTCATTGAGAACTACAAGCTGTTTACTGCAGTGTTAAATGGTACTTGTAGTTCATTCATTCACAGAACTCAATGAATGACATGGCATGAGACACGAGTCCCGCAGGGTCATGCAGTTTTCAAATTGTGACAGTGGATGCAGAGGGAGGATCCCCCACAGCTTCTGTTAAAATTGCAGTAGCCGCACAGATCAAACCATCCAAATTTTGATCCATCTATGGCCACCTTAACAGTTTGTTTTCTTTAGAAAACAGCCTGAGTTAAAAAGCCTATGTTCTTCTAGCATGCTGTAAAGAAAGATCCTGTGTGTGAAAGCAATGATCTCTCTGCATAGGTCCGATCTATAGCTCTGCACTCCCTGTTGCTTGGAAAGTTCTAGCTTTGACTGTACGGTAGTTGGACCTCTACAGAGACCACTGTGCTTACAATGAGAACAAATGCTCTTCTCTGAAGCAAGCTGGATGACGAGAGGCATTACTGTTCAGGCTGCGGCTGTTTTTTTTAAATAAGAAAAATACTTTCCATGTCTATTTTTTAAAGTCCCTGGAATGTATTTAGCAAATATCAGTTGGGCTTTAACAAACAATAAGAGACGGGTGTCCATCTGGAATCACTTGGCAACCAGTGCGTTAAATGGATTGTTTTTAGACCACCAATCTGCAATAGCCCCACAGTGGATGGCTTAAAAGGATGCTGTCAGGACAGGCGTAAGGGAGATGCTTTTTCCAAGTTGTTTAAAAGGTGCATGCTTCTCTTTGAAGTACTTGTACTTGAACCTTCAAAAATAAGTCAGCAATGGCAGCTTTAATAGGTTTCCTGCTTTTAATTTTCCCAGACTCCTTGTAGTTAGCAGTGCACTTGCATGTAGAACATTTGTTTCTATATACCTAAAGTTTGCAAAATAAAACCCGATTGAGTTCTCTGTATATCTTCAATCCAGTTTGTATAAAGAAGCCTAATTAGGTTTAATATTTTGCGTATTTGTATATCTTAAGAAACCAGGCTGTCATTAGGGAAATTAGTTAGAACTTTGGTATAAAATTAGTGTATTGATGAATTTCTGACTTTGTGTCTTGAGAATAACTATGTTGTAATAGATGGAAATATGTTGTTGTTTACACAGCACTAGTCTAACAAAGAGCTTGTCCACACAGACAATCTGACATTGTTGCTGGTCTCTTGAATCTACAAATGTAGCCTTAAGGCAAGCCTTTTACATCTGAATTCTAACCCAACATATATTAAAGTGCCAAAGCTCACACAGTTTGATCAGTAAAGTGAGGTGTGCATCAGAATCAGTCAAACCAAATGTAAAAGTGAAGGAATCTTGTTTGCAATTTCTAGGAATTCTATACGATCATCAAATGCAAAAGTCTAGGCAACACTGCTCAAATAGCATTACTGCTGGGTGCAGGAGAAACCTCTTCGTGTAAACTACAAGTTGTAGCTTACAGGCGGCTATAGGTGATGCCTACTGAAGTCACTAGTGATAGGCCCAATGCTGTCATGTGCTTCTCCACACCTGGAAGTAAAGGGGGAGAAAGAGGAATCCTATTGCTTTGCTTTCTATGGGCATATCACAGGTTTGCTTTAATAACTCATCTAAATATTTTGATCAAAAGTGCCCAAAATGTTTACTGTATATTAACAATGTATTTCAACTTCAATAAACCTTCAGTTCTCCAAACGCAAACCCAATAGCGGATTTTTAAAACTTTGAAGTTAAACACTTGTGAATTATGAGAAGGAGCTTGGGACCCCGGAACTATATTGCAAAAAAGATTCCTTCATTTTACAGTGCAGAGTACAGTGCTACTAATAAATTCACACAAAGGAAGCGTTAAGCAGGTGGCAAACTGAGCATATGAACTGTGGTTCTTTTTATTTACAATAAAAAGGGAGAAGGAGGGATCCACTTTTCTGTGTGGAAAGCAAAGCAATGCTTGTGAGAATTACCCATATATCAAACAGACACAAGAATGCTACAAGTACCATAAATGAAAGAATGCACTACAAACATCAGCATTTATTCATATCCAACTTTTAGCAAATGACAAAATAGAGTGTCTTTTCTTGCTGCAATTACACAATAGCTGGCCAAAAAAGTGCTAAAATTTTAGCACTCATGCACAAACAGATAAAAATGAAGAAAAAAAAAACCCCAAAAAACCAAACCTGATACTATGAAAATTGGTAATGCATTGTTTAACATCCTCTTTTTTAGGAAGATGAATATCCAGACTGTTACGTGTTTTGCTGGGAAAGTTGGAATGAAAGCAAGGTGGACAGCTAACACTTTGTTCACATTTTTAAACAAAATGAGTAAAAAGGAGTCATGCAGTTAGTGAACGCTGCGTTCAACCACTAATGAAATATATCACGGCTCACTTCTTGTTCAACCTCATGGCTGCCAAAAGGGTTCCCCTGGTGCACTTTGCAAGAGTGGCCCACATGGCAAATTGGAGGTAAACTTTTAAAAAGTGCATACAGAAATGTACGATATTTAAAAAAAACAAACAAAAAAACACAATTGTATGGTCCTATGAGAGTGGTCCCAAAAACAGAACTGAGCGTCAGATAAATAAGAGAAACTCTCCACGAGCTTCTTTTACTTAGGTCTTAGATTAAGTACAGATAAACTCTGAACAGTTCTTTAGATTTCTTCAAAAATGCTCCTGATAATCCACAAATGGTGCTTGTTTAGGTTACTTATTTCTGTTACATGCGTGCGTTGAATTTTACTTGTTATCCAAGCGTAGCAGCTGCTCCTTACCATTTATTGCTAAGGACTTTAACTGGCCGTCTTCTTCAACTTCAACTCGTTCCTGACCATTCTCAACAATCCTACAGAACCAAAACAAAGCGTCAGAAAAGCAAAGTGGTCATGGTAAAGCAAGAAAAGGGACACCCTAAATTACAAAAACAAAAAACCCACCCCTAGCAAAACACTCCCAGCGAGTTAACCCTTTGATCACCCTTCACATTAACCCCTTCCTGCCCAGGGAGATTAGTACAGTGTCAGTGCTTTTTTTTTTTTTTAGCACTGATCACTGTATTGGTGTCACTGTGGATGTCAGTGACACCAAGTTACCGACATGTCAGAATGTCCGCCGCAGCCCCGCTAAAAGTTGCTGATCGCCGCCATTACTAGTAGATTAAAAAAAAAAATCCTAGTATCTATACTGCCATTTGTAAATGCTATAAAAAAAATCCTAGTATCTATACTGCCATTTGTAAATGCTATATAAAAAAAAAACAAAAAACAAAAAAAAAACAAAAAAAAAAAAAAACTCACGAAAAACAAATTTACATATATTGGGATTTTTTTTTTTTTTTTTTTTTTTTTTTTTTTTTTTTTTTTAGCAAAGACATGTAGCAGAATACATTTTGGCCTACATTTATGACGAAACTTGATTTTTTTTTTTTTTTTTTTTTTTACAGGGCATGTTTAAAAAAAAAAAAAAAAAAGTCAAAAATATTGTTTTTTTTCCAAAATTGTTGGTCTTTTTGCTTATAGCACAAAAAAAACTGCACAGGCAATCAAATACCACCGAAAGAAAGCTCAATTTGTGGGGAAAAAAAAAAAAAACACCAAAGGCCGTAAATTTCATGTGGGTGCAGCATGACCGCGCAATTGTCAGTTAAAGAAACGCAGCGCCGTAACGCAAAGAATGGCGTGGTAAGGAGGGGGGGGGTAAATCTTCAGGAGGGCAAGTGGTTAAACACAAGGTTTTTTTCTAGAGAACTCGTGTCCCGTCAGTCTAAGCATGTTCTGGGCATGGAAAGGTTGTTGAGTCAGGGAATTTCAGAAGCTGCAGGACTGTTTAAGAAGCATGCCGTCCACAAAAGTTGGCTGTTTTAGCACTGCTTTAACTAGAACATAATTCAGGCAGACCTTAAAGTTCCCATAGCAAAGGAAAAGCAAAAACACCATTAACATTGTATGTAAATATTTGTGCTATTCAATAAGGAAGCCAAGGATCCCTCTTGTATTTATCTTGCCCAACTTGGGAGACAAACATTACTGACAAAAGGCAATCCCTGTAACTCAGCATTACAATGTATTTCACTATGAAAAGGTCCACAATTCCATTGCAGACATCTTTTACTGATTGTTCTAGTGTTAAAATTAACCCGTTAAAGCTCCGCTCCAGGGAAAAGAAAATACTACTTCTTGCAGTGGGAGGGTTTAAAGTGGTTCAAAGCCAAAGTTTTTCCTTAATGCAGGGAATGCATCAAGGTTAAACTGTTTATAGCTTACTGTACTCCCAACCCCCCCCCCCCCCCCCCCCCAATCAAATTCTGTGATGAGGAACCAGGGGCAGGACCAAGCAGCACTGTGAGATTCTATGGAGCTCAGCTTCATAGACACACAACAGACCAGGATCGAGCATGCATTGGTGCTCCCACAGCAAGTGGCTTGCTACGGTTGCACACTAAGGAGATGCAGCCAAGATCACCAGCAGGGGAAGGTTCCGGGCTGCTCTGTGCAATACTATTGCACAAAGCAGGTAAGTACCACAGGTTTATTGTTTTAATTAAAAAAATTCCCTTTAGTAATACTTTAACATGAAATATGGTCACCCCCACCCAAGTGTGCTATGTATACATACATCTATATATCTCGTGAATATTTTGTATTCAACTGAAACAAGCTTACTGGTTTCCAGCCCTCTTCCCTTTAAAAAAGGGTGTACACTACACACCAGCTCTGGGGCATGGTTTAAACCAAAATAATTTAGACAACAGAAGGAATCTACAGAAACTGCAATATGCACACAGCACTCACTGTCCACATGCACAGCTGCAAAACAAGTAGATCCTTCAAATTAAATGGGGAAAAAGTAAATGGAAGTTACAGATATTCTTTAAGAAGCTTAAAAAGAATCATCCTTGAGGTAGCACACTGACTACTACCTTCGCCCTTTATTAAATATGTTTTAGTATTAAAAGGCTGGCACAAAAAGGTGAAAGTTTTGAACATAAAAACAAAATACATGTTCTCTTCACAGCATACTTCAATCATCCAACCTCTTACTTAGCATACAGCTTCTGACCTAAGTAATACAATACCTTTTTGTAATAACTTTCCGGCCATTAATCATTTTGGTCGATGTGGAAACAGATTTGAAGTTGCCCATTCCTGAACCACCAAATGACGAAGAGGAGAATGAGGTGAAGCCGCCATGTCCAATGGAACCAAACGATGTAGTAAAACCTTAATAAAGTAAACACCAGTTTAGAACTAAAAATAAGCAAGACCATTAGGCCTCATTCACACACAACGTTCTAAAGCTTAAACCAGTGGAGGGCTGTGTTTACCCGCACAGGAGCTCCATGCATCCCTGTGCAAGCTCACTGATGTCAATTGGGATGCAGTGGCTCCACGGGACCCGCTGCTGCTCCTAATTTGAGAGTGGGTGCGTGTCCCTGAACGCACACTGTGTGCACTAGGAGACATGCAACCACACCCACAAGGATGTCAAATTGGTAGCAGTAGCTGTGTTTCCATGCAGCCACTACATACCAATTGACTTTGAACTGCCTGCATGAGGATGCATGAAACACCTGTTAAACAAGGCCCACGACGAGTGCATGCTTTAGGCCCCATTCACCCTAGGGAGTTTTGAAACGTTGGCAGAAATTGCCACGAATCTGCCCGTGATTTCAAAACGCTTTTCTAAAATGAAAAATCACGGAAACGCGTGTTTGGGCGCCAGTCAGTTTAACAGCACCCGGAAATGCGGTGTGGTTCTGCTGCGATAAATTGCAACGTGTCACTCAAAAGAAGTTCCTAAACTTTTTTTGCACGACAATCGTGGCAGAACTGCAGTATGTTTTCAGGTGCTATTAAAAGTGAATGGCACCTGAACACATGGGTTTGCGATTTCTCATTTTAGCAGATCATTTTGAAATCGCGGCAATTCTGCATGTGATTCAAGACACCCTAGTGTGAATAAGGCCTCAGTATGCCATTTGTGAATGAGCCCTTAAACTCCATGGCTACAAGGCAAACCAAACCCGTGTTCCTCAACAAAGACTACTATCAAAGGTTACACAGTTCAGTTAGCATGCTGAGGTTACAGGCACTAATCAAGAGTCAAGGTTAATATCTAAAGTATTTACAATGTGCTACCTGAATCAAATGGAGAAAAGCCAGTGGAAAAGCCTGGAAATCCTCCGAAGGCTGAGAAAAACGATCCTCCAGGCCTACTTCTGCTTCCTCTGTGGCCTCTTCTATTACCAAAGAAGTCATCAAAAGGATCCTCTACATAAAGAAGATTTACAAAATAGTCAAGAGCGTATTTAAAAAAAAAAAAGTTTTCAAAGTAGCATTGTATGTGTACCTTCATCCAACAATCTGCAACATACATAACTTTTTTTTGTATGTTTTTTTTTAATTTTTAATTCAACCGCTTTCCTGCCGCCCTATAGCAGATCTACTGCTACAGGGCGGCAGGGGTGTATATACGCGATTTTGACTTACCCATGACACTATTTGTGGCCTCAGCTGTCAATCACCCGGTCCAGACCGGTGATTACTCACTGGCATCTGGTGATCGTCGTGCATTACTGACATGGAGAGAGAACTGTATGTAAACAATACAGTTCTCACCCGTCGGCTCCTGCACACCGCTTTGTATGGATCTGCCCAGCACTGATCACTGTATTGGTGTCACTGGGTATGTCAGTGACAGTTAGTTCCCCCCAGTGTCAGAATGCCTGTCACAGTCCCGCTATTAGTTGCTTATCGCCGCCATTACTAGTAAAATAAATACTGCTACAGGGCGGCAGGGCTGCGCAAAATCATGTACATATACGCAATCTTGCATTTACAGGTAGGGGGCGCACTTGCTCCACCCGTGCTGCCATTGGCGGTTTCAAGCTGTTGACCACTGGCAGGGTCCTGGCTAGCGATTCCCCACTGTCACTGACAGGAGAGATCTGTATATAAACAAACAATACGGATATCTCCAGTCAGCTCCAGCACATTGCTTTGTATTGCTCTGCATAGTAGAGCAATACAAAGCAATGTGCTTACATAGTAAACCAGCACACAGTTAATCCTTTGATTGCCCCAGATGTGAACACCTTTCTGCCCAGTGTCAGTGCTTTTTATTAGACCTGATCACGGTCATTGGCAGCCAGTTCCCCCAGTGTCAGAATGCCAGCCGCAGTCCCGCTATAAGTCGCTGATTGCCGCCATTGCCAATTAATATATATATATATATATATATATATATATATATATATATATATATATAATATATATGTCAGTATAACATTTTTTTTTTTCTCAATATTGTTGGGTTTTTGGGCGATCAAATACCTCCAAAAGAAAGCTCTATTCGTGGGGGGGGGGGGGGGGGGATGTAAATTTAATTTGGGTGTAGCGTTGCATGACCACGCAATTGTCAAAGTAACACAGCACAGTAACGCAAAAAATGGCCTGGTCAGGAAGGTGGGTAAATCCTCTGGAGGGCAAGTGGTTAAATAAAGGTAGGTGGTTGACAGTCTCAGAACAGGATACCACAGGCAAAGCGGAGTGAAAGAGTGAAAACACCAAACGTTTGTACAACTGACAAAAGATGGGGTACATAGGACATATCTATGCACAAGTTAATCAAACGTAGTAGACTCACGTAAGTTAGCAGTTTTAGCGAAAGTAGGGGAAAGGAGGGGGTGAATTGAGAAGTGAAATGAATTTCAGCCCCCCTCTTTCCCCCTGTAGTCTTCCGGGACACTTCACAGGTCCCACAAGACTGCGGGACCAATCTCAAGGTGCAGCACAACTTGTACATGCACAGTAGGAAACCAGCTGTGAAGCCACAAAGGCTTAACTTCCCATTTTTCTGACTTGCAATGGCGGCACCGGGAACCTGGAGGCTCGTGAAGAACTAGCCTGGGTGACAACAGCGCTGGACCTCTGCACAGGCAAGTATCCTTATATAAAGTCAGCAGCTACATTATTTGTAGCTGCTGACTTTTAATTTTTCTTTGTGCATCTCCAATCAGGTATGTAATGAAGGATGGTATTTGTATCAACAGACGTCAGGGAATACATGAGTGAGACCACAGAGTGTTCCTGTTGGATCCCAGTTTTATTGCAGCTCGAGTGCTCCAGTTCCACTAAACTTTAAAGATTACTTGTAGCCTATTTTGGTAGCTCCATGGAGCTGTTAAAAACCAAATGTGTAGCTTAGGCCTAAAGCACAATCCTCTCAAGATATCACTCAGCCCAAACACTCTAGCTCTGCTGTACTCTTGACCATAGCTGGGCCAGGGAAAGGACCATGGGGACTCATCAAGAAAAGATAACAGCAACTGTGACTACTGCAAAAGTATACACACAAGATGTGTGTGAGGGTTAAAGAGAAATGGGCTTAATCAAGAATCTAAACATTGTCTTATGACTGTGCATGCTTCCTTATGAAAAATGTATATTTTCCCCCTAAATTTAGTTTACCTATTCTGTCTAAAAAAAAAAAAAAAAAAAAAAAAAAAAAAAAAAAAAAAAAAAAAAAAAAACTTTAGTTGGAAGGCAGAAGTAATCTAAAAGGCTACACAATCACAAAAAAAAGACAGTGGGGAATATTTAATAAAATGGGAGAATACAGAATCTGGTACAGCTGTGCATGGCAGCCAGTTTCCAACGTCAGCTTGTTCATTTAAAGACGCAGTAAACCACAGGTAAAATCCCCTGCAAGGAAATGCCATAATGTGCTAGTATGCATCGAATACTAGCACATTATGAAGGCCTTTCCTTAAAACGAAGCCCTCCAGCGGCATGCTGTCACTGCTGCAGAGGCTTCAATCTTCAGCCGATCTTCCTTCCGGGTTCACGAGCTCTGGCCGTCTGACTGGCCGAGCCATGACATCACTCCCGCGTATGCATGCAGAAGTCCTGGGCCACGGCAATGTACTCTGAAGGAATGGCACGGGTATGCCGTTCTTTCAGAGAAAGAACGCATGAGCTGGCTCTAAAATGGAGCTAATATTTTCTAAATGACGCACGTTTAGGAGATATTAAATTTTACCTACAAGCAAGCTTTATTATAAGCTTACCTGTGGGTAAAAAAGAAAAAAAAAAAATTGTATTACCTCTAACATTACTACAATAGGCCCGGCAGCACCTCTCATTCTGGGAGGACGTCATATGATGTCCTCCCATTCCTGATGTACATGAGCGCCCCTGGGGGCACACAGCGATCGGTGGAGAGCTCTGTCCCTTGGACATCACTGATCAGGTGGGTAAACAGCCAATGAACAGCTTTTCACCATGTGATCAGCTGTGTCTAATCACATGTAAACAAATGCTAGTTATTGGCACTTCATTTACTCAGCGTGGTTGCTGTTTGAGGAAAGGAAAGCCGATAACTGGCTTTCCTGTGACAGGGACATTTACACTGATGATTAGTGCCCTGATCAATGCCAAAGAAAAATTACCCATTTGCAAATTTTATAACAAAATAGAGAAAAAATGTTTTCCAAAAATTTTCATTTTTTTTTTTTTTCATTTGTTTAGCACAAAAAAAAAACCCCCAAAATACCCAGTGGTGATTAAATACCACCAAAAGAAAGTTTCTGTGTAAAAAAAAAAAAAAAAAGGATTAAAAAAAAAAATGTACAATTTGGGTACAGTGCTGAAAGACCACGCAACTGTCATTCAAAATGCGACAGCACTGAAAGCTGAAAATTCGCCTGGGAAGGAAGGGGGTTCAAGTGACCGGTATTGAAGTGGCTAAGCTTTGGCAATAAAACCAGGAAGCTGATTGGTTTCCAGATTTTACACTCTCCAGCTTTAGTACATAACTCCCGGTGTGCGTAGAAAGGCAGTTGATAAGCTAGCAACTATTTTACATCAGGTGGGTGGCCTATGAATCCTGATTCTATTTCTACACTGTCAGGTTCTATATTACCAAACATAATACTTCAGTCACAGGAGCATCATATTCTCTTTGTAGCATTTCATTTCTCTAGTGAACGCCAGTGGTGAGATTTCCCAGAATGGTGTCTTTGATTCTGACTACCTTGTTTTGTTGGTTCTTGCCCACCTTGAGGTGTTGCCACTGCTTCCTGCTACATTCTTTATATTACAATGAATTTAAAAATTCAGCAAGCAACATGAGCTGAATTGCAGTATCAGTGTGCAGACTTCTGTACTTCAGTTGACCGAGTTAATCATCACAGTCCCCAAGACACTTTGATAGTTTGATGTCCAAAAGTTGTTGAAGCACTTCCTAAAGTAACTTCAACTTTGAACAGCATGTATATACACCTGCATACATACTAGCTTGTTTGTGGCTGCAGAACCACATTTTCAGCATCTATGTCAAAACTGACAACTATGCTTTTTTGAATAAAGCAGTTAAGATTAACCTGGTAAATGTGAAAAGAAACCTAGAACACTACCAGATGACTTGAAATAAAAAAAAACAAAAACATTCATGTAATACTTCAAGCTCACAATTCTTTTAAATTGTTAAAAAACGCTACACAAAATACAAACCAAATAAATCAAATGAAAATGGATCTCGTCCTCCAAAGAACTCTCTGAAGACATCATCTGGGCTTCTGAATGTGAAACCAAATTCAAATGGATGGTCATAGTGGGTTCTACCTAAAAGGGTTACAAATAGGAACACAAGTCAAAAACAAACAGCTATGCTTTACTACAAACTACATTATAAACCAGATACATGAAACATCCTTACTTATCCAATGTTTATGGCCAGTTTCAGTAACAAAGTGTTATGGATAACAGTCATTGTCATAACCAGATACATAGTTAGGTCCATATATATTTGGACACGGGCACAATTTTCACACTTTTGGATCTGTATGCCACCAGAATAAAATTAAAACGAAACACTCTAAATTAATTTGAAGTGCAGACTTTAAGCTTTAATTCAAGGAGTTGAACATAAAGATCAAGTGCAAATTTTAGGAAATGCAACCATTTTTATACACAGTCTCCATTTTCAGGGGCTCACATGTAATTGGACAAAATTTAATATAAATAAAATGTTCATTTTTAATATTTTGTTGAGAATCCTTTACGTGCAATGACTGCCTGAAGTCTGGAACCACGGACATTACCAAAGACTGGGTTTCCTCCTTTCTTATGCTTTGCCAGGCTCTAACTGCAGCTGTCTTCAGTTGTTCTTTGTTTGTGGGTCTTTCTGCCTTTAGTTTTGCCTTCAGCAAGTGAAATGCATGCTCAATTGGATTGAGATCAGGTGATTGACTCGACATTGTAGAATATTCCACTTTTTTCCTTCCAAAGCTCCTGAAGTTGCTTTTTCAGTGCTTTTGGATCATTGTCCATGTGTACTGTGAAGCGCTGTCCAATCAACTTTGCTGCATTTGGCTGAATCTGGGCTGACAGTATCTCTAAACACTGCAGAATTCATCCGGCTACTTCTGTCTTCTGTCACATCATCAATAAACACCAATGACCCAGTGCCACTGGAAGCCATGCATGCCCATGCCATCACACTGCCTCCACCATGTTTTACAGATGACGTTGTGTGCTTTGGATCATGAGCTGTTCCACACCTTCTCCACACTTTTTCTTCCCATCATTTGGTACAAAAATAATCTTTTTGTTTTATCTGTCCAAAGAATGCTTTTCCAGAACTGGTCTGGCTTTTTTTTTTTTTAAATAGATGTTTTTTGGCAAAGTCTAATCTGGCTTCTCTATTCTTCGGGTTCTAATGGTTTTGCACCTAGTGGTGAACCCTCTGTATTGGCTCTCGTAACGTCTTCTCTTGATTGTAGACTGAGAAGGATATGCCCACCTCCTGGAGAGTGTCCTTCACTTGTCTGGATGTTATGAATGGGTTATTTACCATAAAGAGGAGCCTGCGATCATCCACCACTGTTGTCTTCCGTGGACGTCCATGCCTTTTTATTTTGCTAAGCTCACCAGTACGTTCTTTTCTCAGACTGTACCAAACTGTTGATGTGTAAATACTGTATAATAATAATTTGTCCACTCTAATGTTGCTGCTCTCTCTCTGATGGGTTTGTTTTGTTTTTGAAGCCTTACGATGACCTCTTTCACTTACATGGACAGCTCCATTGAACGCATGATGCAGGTTCACAGCAATAGATTCCAAATGCAAATACCACACTTCGATTCAGCTGCAGACCTTGTACCTGCGTAATTGATGAATAAATAATGGAGTAGCCCACACCTGGCCATGAAACAGCTTTTGATTCAATTGTCCAATTACTCTTGGTCCCTTGAAAAAGTGGGATGGCTACTCTTAATTGCTAAACCCTTCCTCCAATTTAGATATACATACTCTGAAATTAAGCCTGAGAGTGCGCACCTTCAGCCCATATCCATTATATAACTATAGCTTGAATATGTCTTGGTTAATACCTGAAAAAACTAAAATGGTGCCTCTGTCCAAATATATATATATGGACATAACTGTACAGTGCATCCAGAACGTATTCACAGCACTTAACTTTCGCCACATGTTATGTTACAGCCTTATTCCAAAATGGATTAAAATTACATTTTTTCCCCTCAACATTCTACAAACAATACTCCATAGTGACAATGTGAAATAAGTTAGTTTTTTGAAATCTTTGCAATTTATTAAAAAAAAAAAAAAAAACACACGTGCATAAGCATGCACAGCCTTTGCTGAATACTTTGTTGAAGCACCTTTAGCACCAATTACAGCCTCAAGTCGTTTTGAGTATGATGCTACAAGCTTGGCACACCTATTTTTGGGTAATTTCTCCCATTCTTCTTTGCAGTACCCCTCAAGCTCCATCAAGTTGGATGGGGAGCGTCGGTGCACAGCCATTTTAAGATCTCTCCAGCGATCTTCAAAATCAGGTTCAAGTCTGGGCTCTGGCTGGGCCACTCCAACACATTCAAAGAGTTGGCCCATAGCCACTCCTTTGTTATGTGGGCTGTTGTCCTGTAGAAAGATGAACCGTTGCCCCAGTCTAAGGTCCAGAGCACTCTAGAACAGGTTTATATCAAGGATGTCTCTGTACATTGCTGCATTCATCTTTCCTTCGATCCTGACTAGTCTCCCAGTTCCAGCCACTGAAAAACCTCCCCACAGCATCATGCTTCACTGTAGGGATTGAATTGGCCAGGTGGCAAGCGGTGCTTGGTTTCCTCCAGACAAAAGCTTGGCATTCAGGCCAAAGAGTTCAATTTGTTTCATCAGACCAGAGAGTTTTGTTTCTCATGGTCTGAGAGTCCCTCAGGTGCCTTTTGGCAAAACTCCAGGCAGGCTGCCATTTGCCTTTTACTGAGGAGTGGCTTCCGTCTGGCCACACTACCAACAGGCTTGATTGGTGGAGTGCTGCAGAGATGGTTGTTCTTCTGGAAGGTTCTCTTTCCACAGAGAAACACTGGAGCTCTTTCAGAGTGACCATCGTGTGCTTGGTTACCTCCCTGGCTAAGGCCCTTCTCCCTCGAGCGCTCATTTTGGCAGGGTGGCCCCCTCTAGGAAGATTCCTGGTGGTACCAAACTTCTTCCATTTACGGATGATTGAGGCCACTGTGCTCATTGGGACCTTCAATGCTGCAGACATTTTTCTGTACCCTTCCACAGATCTGTGCTTTGATACAATCCCGTCTCGGAGGTCTATAGACAATTCCTTGGACTTAATGGCTTGGTTTGATCTCTGACATGCACGGTTAACTGTGGGACCTTATATAGACAGGTTTATGCCTCTCCTAATCATATCCAATCAACTGAATGTCCTACAGGTGGACTCCAATCAAGTTGTGGAAACATCTCAAGGATGATCAGTGGGAACAGGATGCATCAGAGCTCAATTTTGAGTGTCATGGCAAAGGCTGTGACTACTTATGTACATGTGGATTTTAATTTTTTTTTATTTAATAAATTGCAAAGAGTTCAAAACGAACTTCTTTCACGTTGTCATTATGGGGTGTGGTTTGTAGAATGTCGAGGGCAAAAAAAATTAATTTAATCCATTTTGGAATAAGGCTGTGTAACGGAACCGGACCCCGACTGCACTTGGGTATTTCCGTTAGAATGCCGCTTCCCCGTCCGTACACCGACCAGACACAACCGCTGACCGTACGACACTGAGAACACCAGTCTTGAAATAAATCAGGAAACAGACTCCTTTATTTTAAAACAGATACAAGATATATACATTCAAAGGAACAATCCCCCCTCCCTGCATAATGACACAGGACGGAGCAATCCACACCCAGTAACAAGAGAAACACCAACAGACAGTCCCATCAGAGGGGGAAGGCTGCTGGGAACACCCCCCCACCAAGCTAACACACACACACACACACACACACATCCCATAATAGTTTGGTCCCAAACAAGACACACAATAGAAGAGTGGGATGCAACCACATGGCATTAATCAATCCACAACCCTACCCACCTATCTCCTATAGATGTCTACACAATATAAGGACATATCACCCTGCACCCCTAACAGGCACAGGGTGACTTGCACATAATAGGGATACGGGGAGCTGAGACGGGTCTCCCCACCTCTCCAAAGCGAGCGGTGTTCCATGGGCCCCCCCACCCAAAGTGACTCCTGTCACAGGCTGGAACATAGAAAAATGTGGCAAAAGTTAAGCACTGTGAATACTTTCTGGATACACTGTGCATCATATTAGCCACCAGTCAACAAACAAGCAGGTCACAATGAGAAAAAGAGGGGGAAAAAAAGAAATTAGAACTTACCACCACCACCTCCACCTGTTAGCCCATCTTTCCCATATTATCATAGATGTCTCTCTTCTTGGCTAGAAAAAAAAAAAAGTTGAAAAAATGAATTCTAATATAGGAATTTTATTTCCCCCTTAAAAGAACAATTAACTTAGAGGAAAATTAGAAAAGAAAAAAAAAAAACAAAAACAAAAAAAAACACACACCCCTTAGCTGTTGAAATCAATACCATAGCCAATAACGCTTTATCCCCCCCGTAGCAAAGTGAGAATAGAATATAAGCAGTCCAAGGAGTGACTACCTCAAAAGCTCCCGGAGATGAACTGAAGAAAGCCCATGTCACACAAGCATTTGACACCAATGCTATCAGAGATTATAAAACGCCCATGTGATCAAACAAAAAATGCTGTCAGCACACTAGATTGATATAGATTCTACATGAATGGTTAGCCCAAACACTAAAAACAGACATTTAAGAACTATTCACAATAACTTATATTGGAAGCATCCACAGGCCTTAAAGTGTAAATACTAGGGGTACACCGAAGTTTCGGTGGCTGAAAACACCCCGTCGGCCGATATGAAACAAAGCACCAATACAGGTGCTGAAAAAACCCCGCCCCCTCGCCGCTGCTGCCCCTCTCCCGGTAGTTATCAACCTCACCTGAGAAACCACCTAACGATCCCGCTGCTGGACATAGACTAGTGAAGGAAAGATGGCCTCCACTCATCTCTATGCCCTTGGAGGACCGGAGTGATGTCACTTCCGGTTCCGGCGCCTTGTAAACAAGGCCTTTTTTATCCCTGTCCCCCCTCCTTTAAAGCACTGGATCAAAGCTCTTTTTGATCTAATGCTTTACATTGTAGAGGAGAGATGTGGGGACCCCATATCTCTCCATAAAGAGGACCTGTCACTAATTATTTCTATCACAAGGGATGCATGCATTCCTTTTGATAACAAAGTGTGATTTTTTTTTTTTTTTTTTTTAAAAGCGACAGGGAAAAAAAAAAAAAAAAAAAAAAAAAAAAAAAAAAAAAAAACACGTTTAAAAGTGCCCAGTAGACCTCCTCTGTAACTTAACACTGCTAACCTGTAAAAATTTTTAAAGCATCACCCATGGAGGTTTTTTTTTTTTTTTTTTTTTTTTTTTTTTTAGTACCACAGTTTCACGCTATTCCACGAGCATGCGCAATTTTAAAGCATAACATGTTGGGTATCTATTTACTCGCCGTAACATCCTCTTTCATATTCTACAAAAAAAAAAAAAAAAAAAATTGGGGTATATATTGTGTTTGTTTTTTAATCAGTGTATTTTTTCCCAAAAAAAAAAAAAAACAAAATAAAAATATATAAACTGCCAATTTTGGTTTTCAGCCAAGTGCATCTTGAATTTTTCATTTTCGGCGCACCACTAGTAAATACCCCTACAATATAAGTAATTGTATCAAATCTTCAGTCACACTTTAACATCTCCTAAATGTTGCCTGCAGTGTCTAAATTTAAGTACAGCAAGGCACAGCAAAACAAACCTTTGTCATAAAAAAGGTATATGTGCCAACACATTCACCTATGTACACGAGATTATATAAATATAAAACCATTTTAAGTATTTAAACCAAAATACTTACCAAAAGGCACATTACTTGATTCTGTGAAAAACTTTAAACACACCATAGACCACTGTTTTCCCAGATATTTATTATTTTGAACTTCTGTATTTCTCTAAATGCTAAATAGTGTACCGATCTCTATGGAAACTCTCTATGGAAATGACAACAGGAAGAATGCAAGGTGGAAAAAAACAAAACAAAAAAAAAACAAAAAAAACCTTAAAATTACTTACGATCTGATAACACTTCATAAGCCTCAGCAACTTCTTTAAACCTCCTTTCTGCTTCTTCTTTATTGTCAGGATTTTTATCTGGATGCCACTTTAGGGCTAATTTTCGGTAGCTAGAATATGTATAGAAAAAGCAACACGCAAAAAAAGCATATGAATTCTAAAGTTTTTTTTGTACATCGAGAAAGAAAAAAAATGTAAATAAATCTGTACTGTGCTTTCCACATCTGTATTTAGTAATTAAAATATATGATTTATCTTTTGAGTGAAAATTGCAGATATATACATTCCAAATACCGATTCAAAACATGAAAAGTGATTTAAAAGCCTGTCAGTAGTTCCATATCTAAATGAAGGGTCAAATCAGCAGGTATTGAACCACACGTGAATAGTTTAGCAATAAATACCCTTTTTTTCCCCCCTTTTGTGTAAGGCGGTGGGGGGGGGGGGGGGGGGGCTCTCCCACTCAGCCAATCAGAGAAGGCTTTGCATTCATTCACAGACTACAGAGTAACCTATAAATGGCTGAGCGCCGCTGAGTCCGACTCTGTATGGTTCCAGAAGCAAGATGGGAGGTCTGTCTCACAGCCAGAACCCAGCACTGTGTACTCTATGTAGTTGAAGCTACATACAGTTCATACAGAGCTGCCAATGCAGCAGTTGGTGAAGGAAATAGTTTGTTTGGAACAGTGTGGCACTTTTAAAGCATTATTAAAGCCTTAGCAGAAACTTTAAAAGGGATGATTTAACAAACTGTATGAGCACCTACTCGTCAAAAAGACGTGACACTACAAAATTGGACAAATATACATACATACTGAAATTCAACAAAAAATAAAAGCACATTTAAGAACTCTGGCAATACTTACGCTTTCTTAATGTCGTCTTGGGAGGCATTCCTTAGGACCCCCAGCACTTCATAATACTCCACCATGATGTAAAAAGAAAGTACAAACCTGCAAGGAGTAAAATTATTTTTTTTTATAAATAAAAAAAAAAAATTCATAAAAAATGCAACTGAAGACTGTCATATATGAAACGCGTCATCTGCTGCAAACTGAACCAGGCCAGTGACTCATGTTACAGGCTATACTAAAGGTTTTCTTCTGCAGATGTCCATAAAAATTAAGGTAAATAGTTGAAGTTTAGCTTTTCAAATTGACAAGAAAGTAGATGTAAATCTAGATGTTGGTTATAAACCTCAACATAAAAAGCAAATATGTTCAGAAAAACAGTCTAACAGCAGCGCTGCGGTATTTAATTAGGTCATACTTTGACTTGGTGCATGTGATGAGTACAGATCTGGACAGATACAAATATACCAGGGACAAAGCCAACAAGCATTAACACAACTTCAGGCATCGGATCAAAGCCACAGATTACTAGTACTACTACTTTTATTGCTTCAAATATTTTTTAGAAAAAAGGTAACAAGAACAGCTCAGTGGGATTTCTGTTTGTTGCATGTTACAGAAACAAATAGTGATTTTCTAAACATTGTAGATTACATTTTACTCAATCGTGTGTACTGGGACCTGAATTGTATTGGAGGGTGGGGGGAGGGGTTAAGCAGCTCTAATCTATGAGAGCACACAAATAACTTATGCCCTGTACACTCAATGTGAATATCGGACAAATGAATGATCGTCCATTTTCTTTTTGCATGTTAGTCTCATATTGAAAATGAAGTGGTTACTAAAGTTACAAAACCACTCATATGACAGAATACAACTTTAGAAGTGATGTAATGTGTTGTACTGTACTCATTTCTGAGCATGCCTGGTCTTAGTCTCTCGATATTTTTTGGATGAATATTGTACTGAAGAAAATGAAAATCATTTTATCTGTTGTCATACAAGAAAAATCTTTGTTCTTGACCCTTCAGATAGTCGCATGAAGTGTTGGGATTGGCTGTTGAAAGCTGTGTACAAATGATCAGATTATCGTAAGATCACGCCGAAAATGATTTTTATCATCAGATTTTCTGATCATGTGTACCAGGGATGGGAATGCTAACAGATGGAAATTCAGCTAAACATGCACACATGGTTGACAGTGTGGTTTAAAGTCCACTACCAGCCATGTGTTATTCAAAATGCAACTATTTACAGAGAAATTAGAACACACTCCTTGGGTAAAATGAAAGGAGCCAGATAATCACAACTTTTATACACAAATGTGGAACCCAATTTATATTGATGCTTTGGTGCACACTTAAGCTGGCCATAGATGGATCAAAATTCAGCCGGTTCAGCAGGGACAGGCTGAGTTTCGATCCATGATGGCCATATCTGATCGACTTCTGTCAAACAGGGGTATTGGAGAAGTCCTCCTGTCAAAACATAATGGGGATGGTGAAATCTGTTCTTTCAATAAGCCAACTGGCTGACAAAAAAAAAAAAAAAAAAAAAAGTCACCTATGGCCAGCTGTATAACAGACACCTGGAATGACCACTAAGTGCCAATTTATACCACAGTGTTGCGAGAATGCACGCTTGTGTGCACTGCCATTCAATGTGAATGACACATCAGTGCACCTTTCCGATGCACCTGGACCGCACGCACACCACACTTCTGCACACTGCAGTACAATAGTAAAAAAAAAAAAAAAAAAAAAAAAAAAAAAAAAAAACACACCACTGCTCCAATTTTAGGTCACTTGGGATGTTAGCCTTTTCAAACAGGGAAAAAAAAAAAAATGCAAAAATTCATGCAATTAAAAAAAATAAGCCCTTCTAGTAATAAAAACGGTCTACAAAAAACAGAAAAAACTGTTTCAGCACTATGGATAGCTCCAGTCAGCGAGTTATTTTTTCAGGTCACTGCACAAGTCCTATTAGCCAGCTTTACATCATACACTATATTGACAAACGTATTGGGACGCCTGCCTTTACACGCACATTAATGGCAGTCTTAGCCCGTAGGGTTCAATATTGAGTTGGCCTACCCTTTGCAGCTATAACAGCTTCAACTCTTCTGGGAAGGCCGTCCACAAGGTTTAGAAGTGTGTCTATGGGAATGTTTGACCATTCTTCCAGAAGCGCATTTGTGAGGTCAGGCACTGATGTCGGACGAGAAGGCCTGGCTCACAGTCACCCCTAATCCATCCCAAAGGTGTTCTATCGGGTTGAAGTCAGGACTCTGCAGCTCAGTCAGTCAAGGTCCTCAACCCCAAACACTCATCCATGTCTTAATGGACCTTGCTTTGTGCACAGTATTTTAGAACAGGAGGGGCCATCCCCAAACTGTTCTCACAAAGTTGGGTGCATGAAATTGTTCAAAATGTCTTGGTATGCTGACATCTTAAGATCTCCCTTCACTGGAACTAAGGAGCCAAGCCCAACCCCTAAAAAACAAACCCACATCATAATCCCCCCTCCACCAAAAACTTTACACTTGGCACAATGAAGTCAGACAAGTACCGTTCTCCTGGCAACCACCAAAACCCAGACATGTCCATTGGATTGCCAGACAGAGAAGTGTGATTTGTCACTCCAGAGAACACGTCTCCACTGCTCTAGTGTCCAGTGGCGGCGTGCTTTACACCACTGCATCTGACGCTTTGCATTGCACTTGGTGGTGTAAGGCCTGGATGCAGCTGCTCGGCCATGGAAACCCATTCCACAAAGCTCTCTACACACTGTTGTGCTAATCTGAAGGCCACACTAAGTTTGGAGGTCTTTAGCTAATGACTCTGCAGACAGTTGGCAACTTCTGTGCACCTCAGCATGCGCGGACCCCACTTTGTCATTTTATGCGGCCTACCACTTCGTGGCTGAGTTGCTGTTACCCAGTTTCTTTTCACTTTGTTATAATACCACTAAAGAGCTGACCGTGGAATATTTAGTAGCAAGAAAATTTCACAAATTGCACAGGTGGCAACCTATCACAGTACCACGCTTGAATTCACTGAGCTCCTGAGAGAGACCCATTCTTTCATAAATGTTTGTAGAGGCAGTCTGCATGCCTAGGTGCTTGATTTTGCCGTGACAAGGCTCTGTAGCTTACGCATGTATTTGCAAATGTGTGCTAACTAAACCCGTTTTTAACGCATACTGTTTTAGACAGGTTAATTTGGTTTGTTTGCAAGCTGGCTGGCAAATTCAGCTGGGAATTTTTCTGTTTTGATGTTTGACATGCGTGCCCTTCCATGTGCTCCTTGCTGTGAAGGCCAGTTATAGACTGAGGCAGTGGCCATTTTTATACACATGATTTTAAACACCTGTGGCCATGGAGGTGATTGGAACACCTGAATCCAATGATTTGGAGGGGTGTCCCAATACTTTTGGCAATATAGTATATATGTAAATACAGCAAATGTGTTGTGACTGTTCCACTGGAAAACATGCTCATTACACCCCAAGGTTTTCTGTTTAGGATAACTTCAAAATGTTTGGCATCACTGCTGAGGTGGTCTTCTGTGAATGCTGCTTGACTGTCTCCAGTGCTTACCATTTGATTCAGTATTCTGTGAATCACTGACCAGAACAGGTATGAAGACAAGGTCATGCGACTCATTTCGGACTCCAAAACATTGACGGTCCGATCGGGTTCTCCTGTCAGTTTTTCAGGCGGACCCAATCAGACCATCCACAGACCTCTATGGACCGGCGGGTGTCAGCAGATAAATGTCTGCTGGCACACGCCAGCATCCAATTTGATCCTGTATGCCAAAAACAAACAGATGGGGATCCGTTCCCCATCTGCCTGGTGGATCGGATTGCAGTCAGATGGAAACGGACAGGCATTGAATTTCCATCCGACCTGCCCCAAAGACAGCGGGCAGTGTGTCCACTCTGCAACAGCAGAGATAGACCTGCCATCCGCCTGCTCAGTGGGGATCAGCTGAGAGATCCCCGTTGAGCAGGCGGATCCACTGACAGGTCACCGTGTCTGAAAAGGGCCGAAGACAGTCTACATAATATCCAAGCAATTAAAATTTTGTGCAGTTCAGCAATGGTAGTTACCTTTTTTTTTTTTAATCATGAAAGGTTTCCTTTATATGAGCAAAAAAAAAAGTAAGTATGGCCAAAACGTTTTTGGTTATACTTCTCCTGGGTCAAAAAGGAGTGCACTTGTGGCCAAAGACCACACACACAGTCTCTTGCCTTTATACTTTTACTTCCTGTTCCACAGCCAAAACAGAAGCAAGAGGAAATCCAACAAAAGTAAATCCCTGGTTGTCACTCAAGTCACCAAAACTAGTGTCTCCATTGGAAGATTTCCCCAGTTGACAATTCAAAATGTGACTTATGGTCGCTCTCGGCGTTAATATACAAGACAAAAAGAGGGTGAATTTGCCTTTAGCTCTAATTTACAGTGTTTGCAAATAAAGTAGAATTCTAGATATTTTTTTCTTACTTTAAATTGTTACATTTCTTACCCTTTTGTCTTGTTACAGTTTCCTTAAGGAATGCTAACCCTTCCCCACTCTACTAGAGAGGAAAAAAAAAAAAAAAAAAAAAAAAAAATTTTCATTGCTGTCTACATCCTAATGTAATATATATCCAACTATCAATAGTAATCAGGGCAGCAAATGAAAGGAAATTCCCCAGGGCAGCAATTGAAGGGCATGTGAACCTAGTCTTTAAAGAAGGAATGTCAATGCATGTCAACTCCTGCATTAAATGCGCATCAGGATGAGCTAAATACGATGGGCATGTTGTGAAACCAGCTTAAGATTCTATGTATCAAAATTGAGCTGGTTCAGCAGCGCCCAGATGAATTTGCGTAGGCTTGTTGCACACAAGTCTGTCTATTGCTATAGATCGATTTGAATCAGAATACAATAGCTCAGCAGGAGGGATTCCCCCATCCACATTGAGTGTGTGGATGGGGGAATCAATTCATTTTCCTTTGTGCAACCATCAGGTTGAATGAAAGAAAAGGACTAGTTTATGGCCGGCTTAAGAGAAAGATCTAAACTGGACACCC